ACTTTTAAAGGATTCCTTAAATTCCCTTAAATTCTTCTTGATTTCCTAAATAAACCCCGGGCGTAATAATGGAAGCACTGGGCCACTTTGGATTATGCACAGAATAATCATAATTAACCCATTGCTTACTGGAACCTGGTGGTCCCTGTGTTAAGCCTATGGGAATTAGATAATTCAGTAGCCAACGGGTTAAGACCTTGATTGATGTCAATTAAAGCAAATGGCGGTCCTATGACTGTGTGATTCTTGTATTTTTAACGATTCGTTTTCCGTTTTCTTATTTCTCGACTTCATATTCGTTATTGTAGACCCATTTTATAAAAACCATTAATTCATGTTTTGAAGCTCGTACATTATTCTCTACACTTGGTCAAGTTAAAATTGACCGGATAATTATACCGAGGAGGCGAAAGTCTCGTTCATTCAAATGATGTTGACTTTAATTACCTATGCTATGAACTTTAACCTGCTGCTAGCTAACTGCATGCATAGCGCGCACTGTACATATGCATGTAATATTAATATGATAAGCTTGGGAATTGTTAATGTTAGACTCGATATATTCACGATCATTCACGCAGCTCGACTGAACTACAGTACTACATCTACATCTACATCTAAGGTGGTAATGGACAGGACCAATTGGTATATACGTCCAGATTTTCTATTATACCATGGCTGATTTTACCACTTTCCGGCAAAGGATCGTTCAAAGAATTCTGAAGGTAAGCCTCGTCTAAGTTAGCTTAAGATCTTGACGTACAACTTTCCTTTAAAATCTAGAGTAAGACCAGCTTTTCCAACCTAATAGACATTGCTGTTATCAAATATTATAGAGTCTAATGTCGACAATGTTACACACGTTACAGTCGGCCGCAGCGGCAGCAGCTACATGTAGCATAGAAGAAGTGCCCTGCATACATGCAGTAAACTGTTCAATCTTTTAGACACCAAAACTTGCTCCCCAAATTAAGGTCTATACTGAATGATACTAGAATTGAGATTATTCGAATGGATCTAAACTAGATCTAGATCTAACATAGATATATCGGATCGGTGTAAAAATTTCAGAGGTAATAATGTCAGAGGCAAAGATGTCAGAGGTAATAAAACTCAGAGGTAAAATGTCAGATGGTAAAAATGCCAGAGGTAATAATGTCAGAGGTAATAATGTCAGAGGTAATAAAACTCAGAGGTAAAATGTCAGATGGTAAAAATGCCAGAGGTAATAATGTCAGAGGTAATAAAACTCAGAGGTAAAATTTCAGATGGTAAAAATGCCAGAGGTAATGATGTCAGAGGTAAAAAAAAGTCAGAGGTAAAACAACTCAGAAGTTTTTTTTTTTAAATTCAGAGGTAAAAATGTCAGAGGTAATAATGTCGAAGGTAAATATGTCAGAGGTTGTTTAAGTTGAATATTGGTTATGGTTGTATATAACACTTATCGAAAAAGAATAACGAAGTATTTCCTGCAGTCATTATTTTGACGCGGTTTTATTTTCTTCTTTGACCTTTTGACCTATTATTGCCGAATGTTATGGTTTAGTTACCGAAGGTAGAGCCTTGAAAAGTCACGGGCATATCCTTGTCAATTTGACACACAAAATCTGACATTTCAGAGAGTGATTTTTTATGCTCAGCATGAAGTTTGTAATTATTTATGGGAAGAAATCTCCTTAAAGTTGTTGATTTGATAGTACCAAAAATATTCTTGGCAACCTTGTTTTATGTGAATAAAGGTGTTCAGAGATTAAAAGTTGCATGTATATTAGGTTAATTCCCGTACTGACAACGAGGGAAAGTCGATTATAATGATGTATAATATTGTATTATGTATATTCAATATTCTCTGGTAAGAATTGTGACCTTATATTTATTTATATAGACTTTGTATTATTCTTATTTTTAGTTTGAACAGAAAGTTTTCAAAGTTGCCCCTCGATAAGTTTTATTTGCTGTGAGAGATCAAAATCTAAAAATTGAACAATTCATGAGCAACATATCAGAAACATTGCTTTACTGTACAAGTGTATAGCATCATAAGCCTGCTTGTATACGTGACAATATTGTTTGAAGAATACTCGATGCAGGATTTATAAAAGGTTTGTTGGCATACATTGCTCACGACAGTTTCCAGCAGGTACATTCAGTACAAGTCTACACATTAAACAAAATGCATTAATAAGTTGGCAAAAATTAATTTGAGGAACTTAAACTGTATTTATCTCACGTTTCTTAATCACAAACATGATGTTATCATATAAAGTTACACTGTGTTATGTTTAACCCAACAAATACAATAGTTTCTGCCTTTCGATAGGTACTGCATAAAAGTCAAAAGCACATGACAAAATACCTGACTAGATATGTCTCAACATTTACTACAATCATGTAGGCCTACTATCTGACATTCTTCAAGCGAAGCTTTGCTTTTGTTTGTTTAACTTTTGTAATAAAGTATTGATGAGGGGGGGGGGGGAGAATCCGTGTCTTTTTCTTAATGTTTTCTCGTCATAACATTCTTTGCTGGGATGATCATCATCATGAAGATGGGTCTGATGACTGAAATTGTGGAATTTTTGTGCGATCTTTATAACTGATTCCATGTTTTTATCTCATTCAATATTAATATTATATGTACTTACTTCCTCAAACCAAAGAAACATTAAAACATCAACCAATAGAAAATATCGAAAACGTTTCGAAATTCATACATGCAAACCTGATCACAAAATATTTGTTTCAGATTTATTTTCTACATTGCACTATCCTCAGGCCATGTACAAAGTACAATACACAGTTATTTATTTAAAAAAAAATTATGGTATGGAAGAAGGGAATATGATAGACTTAGCCCAGTAACTTACGTCTCGACATTCTGTGTAATGAAGTGCTGATATATTATGACGGCACTGAATTTTTTACCACGACATTTTGTTTGTATCTCTGACGTTTTTGTTGTACCTCTGAATTATTACCTCTGACATGTTTACCTCTGACATTTTTACCTCTCAAATCTTACCTCTGACATTTTCACCTCTGACATTTTTACCTCTGACATTATTACCTCTGACATTATTATCTCTGACATATTTACCTCTCACATTTTTACCTCTCACATTTTTACTTCTCACATTTTACCTCTGACATGTTTACCTCTGACATGTTTACTTCTCACATTTTACCTCTGACATTTTACCTCTGACATTTTTACCTCTGACATATTTGTCTCTGACATTTTTACCTCTGACTTATTTTTACCTCTATATATTTGGCTGTTTATCGCTCTTTAGATCGGGTTAATGACCGACGTCGCATGAGCGCTATATAAGAAGCCACAAAATGTATTAAAGTCGTTGTTATCATTTAGATTGTTGTAAGTATTATTACCATTAATATAGTTCTTATCATTGTCATTATTATAACTCTTATCATTATCATTATCATAATCTTCTTCATCACTATCAGTATAATCGTTATGATCATTATATTCTATAGTATTTTTCTCTTTCTCTCTCTCTTTCACTGTTATTTTCTCTTACAATCTCGTTTCTTCATATAGAAATTTTCTTCATTCCCTCCCTCTTTTAAACTCTTGTTATTTCCAAAAGCACTGGAATGCTACCAGAACAGGTCACGCAATGTATTCTCTGTTAAGTTGTCGAGTCTATTTCATATTTGTCATACTCTTATGCAAACTTTTTTATTTAAACAAATCTAGGCGGGTCATAACGTTAATCAAACAAACGAAAAAAAGGAGTTGTTTACCAGATTTTGTACAGGCGTCAAGGGAAAAGTGATATTAGAAGATGCATTCTTTCCATAATTGCTCCCAAAATTTAGGTAAACAATTTTGTTGATGGACAGGCACTCAATATGTTCTGATATCAATAACTCAATTTTCGTCAAAGTGGATTTAGCTCCTTTTGGAATTAAGCTCTTCAAATAGAGATGAGTCACGGAAGGCACGTTTCCCCGAAGTAAATGACAAAAGGTTTTTCCCTTATTTGTTCCCACAATTTATTATCACTTCTTATCTGCACGAGATTGAAATTTCATGATAAGACCACGATCGGGGTGCAGAACGCCGAGGCAGCTGTCGTGTGTAATAAGTCTCCCTTGCATTTCATCCACAGTATGCACCTTTTAGTAAATCCGTATACCGGCTACATTCGCACCACAATGACAAGGGCTACACTGCCCACATGCCTCTAGGCCTCTTTGTATGCCTCGCAAACCATTCTTATTGTCAGACACAATCTTATTTACCCCTCAACATTTCTTTTGTTTTCAATATTATATATCTTATTGTTAATGCAATGTGAAATATGAACTTGTTTTATACCATGCATTCATATGATGCAGTGCTTTTTTCATGGTTTATGAAATTAATACAGCATGAAATGAAAATTTTGTCTCGCCGCGGTTTTGTTTAATTAAAAAAAAAAAAATCAACATTAAATGCAGTTTTAGGCTGATATTATATGTTTTTGCAAAGTTATCACATATTTACAATATAATAAAACAGTGTCAAAATACAAAAGCAATATAACAAAATAACAATAGTAACAGTTCAATAAAACTTTCAAATTACAATGGCAATATTCAGTCATTTAAAGGGCGTTAAGAACCACAACATTTAAACTTAAACTGAAAAGAACAATTCTTGTCACTTATTGATTTATTGAATTAAATAATATTGATTCATATATTTTGTTAGTATGTAACATTATTAGTATTGTTTTTATTGTATCGTATTTCATCGTATTGTATTGTATCTGTATCTTTTTATGTTTGGGGTTGCTTGTTTACAAGTTTTTAACTTATTTTAGCCATCCCGGTATTTGTAATGATTTCATTTTTTATTTTTATCTTTTGCCAAATAAATGTGAATTGAATTGAATTGAATTGAATAAAATAACATTGGTAACAATATCATAAAAGATTTAGAAAAATCTTCCTCTGCATTTATATTTTTACTCTCCGTTCTGTACAGTTCAGGGATTGTGCCCTTGTGCTAACCTCGGTATATTCCGTCTTCATGTTCTTTGTCGTATGCTACCTTCTCTACCGATCGCCGTCCAAAGTCGAGTCCATAGAAGGCGGATATCCGCGATCCCAGTTCAAAGGTTATTCTGAGGACGACAAGAATGACACTGGTAGTGGAACCGAACCTCCTACTCGAAGTCCGAACACCGGATACTTCTTTCTCGATACCAATCAGGTGAGATATCAAAGATCACGAGGCCATGCAGATCTCCAGGCTTTCCAAGAAAACATTGATTTTAAGGGGGGGGGTATCTTCTTCTTGTTATTTGCGGTGGTGATGTGTGTGTGTGTGTGTGTGTGTGTTGTTGTTGTTGTTGTTGTTGTTGTTGTTTTTGTTAAGTCGGGGGGGGGGGGCTTTTTCCCCACGGAAGTATGATGGGTTAAGGTACGAGCCGCTATAAAAATGTACAGTCAAACCTGCATCTGAGTAAAGTTATCTCTCTATAAAGGCCATCTGTCTAGCGGTCATGTATTTTATCTCCCTCGAGGGAAAAAAGAACGTTGTAGAACCTGTCAAAAAAAAACCACCTGTCTACAGGGGCCACTTGTTCTGATTCCTTCGGGTGGCTCAATAGGCAAATTGTACTGTAAATGAAGTAGATAGGTATAGGTAGATGTATAATAGGAAGAAAATGAAAGAAAAAGATATTGCATGAAGGTGTGGTGGTCTAGTAGATGCCCTACAAAATGTCGATATTATTATTGTTCTCTATCGAGAATACGTGTAATGGCATCGGAAATCACTCAGAAGCAGGGGGGGGGGTGCATGGGCTAAACTGTTTCCGATGTAAATCTTTTTCTGAAGAAAAATATTTGGGGCATTCGGGTATCGGGTAGGGAAGTGTGAAGACTCCCAACTGGCAATTTGTATCCTCTTGGAATAAGAATCTGACCGGCATTGAATGATCAACGATGATCAAAGATGAATGAATGGAAGAATTATACACGACTCATGAGGAGATTTTTCCAACCTTTAAACCTATTTATTTTCACCCCCCCCCCCCCCCTCCACTTCCCCTTCCTCTTCCCCTTCTCTCCTGCAGACATTCACTAAACGATGTAGACAATGTTCGGTGGTTTCGAGTGGTGGTCACCTCTATCAATCTTGGGCCGGTGCCGACATCGACAGCGCCGACTGCGTCATCAGAATGAACACTGCCCCCGTCACCGGCTGGACGGAGGACGTCGGGGCTCGAACCGACATCCGTATCATCGGGCATGTCAACATGCGCCGGGGTTTCGTCAAGAATGGCCCCCTTCAACAAGAGATTCTCGAGGACGAGGACACGAGAGCCAAGTATGTCGTCGTTCCTTGGCTTTATGATGAGGACATCAACATGACAACTCATAGAGTGGTCAAGACTGCCAGAGGTTTTAAGAAGAAGTATCCCGAAGTGAACTTTGTTTTCCTGACCAGGGAAAAGTATGAAGCATCTGAGAAGAGGTTCAAGCTTGAGACTGGCTTTTCCAGGTAATTCTGACGATTCCCCCTCTTTCTCACTTTTCTAGTTTTGAAATAGCTTAGAATGGCCTTATTAAATACGTTTATATAAAGCCCGGGTCACACTAGAGCTACCGACCGGTCACTGACTCCCGACAACCGCAGATCGGGAGTAAGTTGTCAGAGATGGCAAAGAGGTTTTTGGCAGTCTTTACAAGGTTGTAATTGGTCAATGAGTGGTCGGCTGGAGGTTCACAGTGCATCGAAAAACCCGTAGCCGACCGAATTGGTCATGGGAAGGTTTTTCTTGGTTTTACAATGGTAGGTGACACTTTTCACACTGATTGGCGAATGATCCTCAGTGCTTGGCGATTATTTCCGGGCGATATATGGTTGAAAAAAGGACGGCAGCTGATCGACGAATGATAAACGCAATTGAGGTGATCTTTTATGAAACTGTCAAGATTTTTTTATTGTATATATATTTGTTCTCGCTGCAAAGATTAGCAAATAAAATATGCTTGTAGAAGATGGCACTTTATGTAAATAAATGAATATCAAATTTATGATTGTGGAAAATTTACGCGATCTTTGTGTGTTTGATTTTGTGATCCTAGAGACGAGATCAACACATGGTTCACCACTGGTTTTGTATCCATGATGTTTGCCCTAGATGTATGTGACAAGGTACACGTTTACGGACTATCCACGTCTGAATTCTGCATGTAAGTCATTATTTAATTGTTTTTTTTTACCACTCGATATAACTATTGGCTAATGTTCCTAATTTTTCAATTTCGGCACCACATATGAATATATAACCGCAAAAATATCTCATTTTGTAAGCTTAAAGATAGAACAAAAAGGAAACAGAAACAAGTAGATAAAGTTAAGCAAAAAAATAATACAAGAATAATAGAAAAACAAAACAAAACAAAAATGATGTCAATACAATGTATGGCTTTTTTTTTCTCATAGAGAATTTTAAAAATTGCAAAATTGAACTGAATTACAAATCAACATTCAATATCCCGTGTTGAACGATCGCAAATGCCAACATAGAAAGGCGCTATACAGTCATGATGTCAGACTAGTTATGTTCTCTACACAGAAGTTTGTACTTCAATGAGTAATTAATCGTATTAGACTACTCTTCATGGTATTTGAACATTACCTTTACCTTTGTTGTGTGTTTTGAGGGTTCCATTTGTTTTGTTTGGCTCTCGGGGTGCCGACGCAACGACTTGTTCCATAGCTTTGTTACGGAATGACCAAACAGAGTGAGATATAAAACCAATATTTCATACATAATTATGATGAATGGAAATATTGTGAGAATTCCTCATACTAGTTACTACATTATATCATGCATTTTTAAAATTTGAAATTTAAAATCGAAAATTCTCTAGAATTGTCATTCCATAAACCTATTGTCCGAGTAATAATAATAATAATATTGTAAACTTACAGAGCGCACACACCGTCCAGGGACGCTCGTGGCACTATATAGCTCAGCAACAGTTCCCTTTAAAGTCAAGTCAAGTAAACAATTCGTCCCTATTTTAATGAAGTGACGGTAGTAAATGAAAATCGCATACAATTTGCGTGCGGATTTTCCTCACTATACCGTCACTTCGTGAAAACAGGAACGAATTTTGCAATATTTGTATCACCCATTTCAATCCTCAGTCTTAGGATAGTCTTAGAGGTATGATCTAAGACCAAACAAAATATATATTATGCAAATAATTACCGTTTGTGAAGGTGATGGGACAAACTATCACTTCCGAGGCAATCTTGATGTAGCTATCTTTCCGAAGCGAAGCCGAGGATAGATACGTATACATTCAGATCGCCGAGAAAGTGATAGTTTGCCATCGCCTAAAACCAAAAGTGATTATTTGCTATAACTATATTCCACATCGAAAACATTTCGCTTCTTCCGTCATTTTAGAGCAACAAATCATCAATTAACAGCTAGCAAACGGTGTACGATACGTACAGTGCATGCAGTAATACGTACGTACGCGCAACATACTGTATACAAGAAAGTGCGTTGCACTGTGTAGAACTACTATCTACACAGTGCAACGGACTTTTTTCTCCCATCAATTTTAGATAGGCGAACTATCTTTCGTCACGTGATTTACTTTTGACCAATCGTAGCGCAAGATTCTTTGTATGTGGATGCCCGTTGATTTCAAGTACATCTTCTTCTACTACTTCTACATCTTCCCCTTCGATCTCTTCTTCTTACTCTTTTAATTCTTCTCTTCTCCACCTCTTTTTTTTCCTTTCCAGACATCACCCCAAGTCCAAGGTCCCTTACCACTACTACGAACCAGAGAACACGACGGAATGCGCTTACATAAATGCAAGAGAGCTGGGACTAACCAAGGGCCACAAATTCATGACCGAACGTGCCATGTTCGCTCGCTGGTCGCTGATCTACGACATCACCTTCCATTACCCGTCTTGGAAGGCCACCATCGAGAACGTCACCGGTAATCTGGATACGCCGTTCCTACGCAAATACAAGGAGGCGTTGAAGAGCGGTAAACTGGAGGGTGTCCCGCATTATGTGTACAAGAATGGGACACGGACCCGCGTTATTTACAAACGTCGGGTTAAAAAGATCGCCGGTAAAGCACCGCAGAACGGTACGAAAGTAGAATCGCAAACTAAAGACCAGAATGTGACGGTCAATACAGATAAGGATCATGCTCCTCGAAAAAGGAGGAAGGTTGTCAGAAAAGCTGTCAGGAAAAAGGCGCCTAAGGATGAAAAATCGTTAACGGAAATAGATTCACAAACGGCACCACAGAACGGTACGAATGGGGTGGAAAAAAAGACGTCTGAGGACGAAAAGTCATTACCGAAAGTAGAGTCGCAACTTAAAGACCAGAATCTGACAGTCAGTAAAGATAAGGATCATGCTCCTCCAATAAAGAAGAAAGTTGTCAGAAAAGTTGTCAGGAAAAAGCGTAATAAAACAGGGAAATGAAGACGACAACTTTGTAGTGCACCAGCGAAAGGGGGATTTGGTCTGCGCGCAGCACGTAAAATATGTAACTTGACTTTGACTTATGCCGTCCACGCAGGCCAGTGGCCTCGTGATGGCTTCTGTATGGTAATGGTGTGCCAAGTATTTCTGTCTGCTGCCAGTCTTGATGCATCTGTCAGCCTTGGTATATGGATCTTGCTTTGCAGTCCTCTGAGATGCAGTCAAGCCATCTTTTGGGTGGACGGTCTCTGGGTCGATTCCCAGTGACATTTCTTTCAACGGCAAGTTTGGGGTATCTTGTGGGTTTCATTTTTAGGACGTGACCAAAATATTTGAGTCTTTTAGTGGAGACCTTGTCCATAACAACTTGATCGAGGTTAAGGGATTCTTTGATGTGTGTGTTACGGATCTTATCTAGTCTTGTCACCCCCATTGTGCGACGAAGGCATGCCATTTCAAACATTTGAAGCCTGTTGCTATAAGCCTGTTGCTATAATATGTAACATTTAAGAAAAATGATGGATTGCAGATCACTCTTTCGATTGTTTGGACCTACCTCTATTTGGTGTTCTACCACGTGATTCTGAAGACTCGCCTCCGTTTAACGGGCCGGAAAAAGTGTGGACAATATAGTGGCGGTTCCCCACTCAGTGGGTAGAGAGATAGTCTCGTAACCGGTCTCGACGCGCTAGTGCCTTTTAAAGGCATCGAATTTAATTGAATTTATTTTCTTCTGCAACATACAAATCAACTTACATTTCAGCAATATTACATAATTATATAAGATTTTTAATGTGAATACAATATAACAATAATGAATAATGATATTAAAGCAAATTTTGACTGATAATAAAATACCAATAATTCTTTATTAAGAAAAATGCACAAGAAGAAGGGCTATTACAATAAGCGATTGCTTGATAGCGTGATAGCCCCGAGGAAAGGGAAGGGGGTGATGATAACAAATAAAACAAAAACTGGAGATAGTGATGATGTTGATGATAATTAATGATGGTGGAAATGAAAATATGCTGATGTAAATATGTCTGACACAGAAAACTTATATAAGTATACGAGAGTTATAAATATATTTGATGGATGTTTCATAGGAATCTGAAAAAAATATTGAATATTAATTCAGCACTGGAAAAAAGATCAAGCAATGTGCTCTGATAGAAACGATTTCTTCGTTTTTAATTTAAATGAATTTAGGGTTTTTACATGGTTGTATTTGGTCTGGGAGTTTATTCCATAAATCTGGACCATGATGTCTCTATGGTTTATGCAGGATCGATAATCTAGGGTTTATCAAATGAAAGTTTAATTAGTTCCGAGAAGGGTAAGGACTGACGGATAGTGTTATTTAATACTAAAAAATCTTAAATGAATCAGAAAGCAGGTTATTCATGTATTTGAACATGAAGTATCCATGTCTAGTTAGGGAGATAGTTGAAGGAAATTGTGATTTTGTTGCATGTTTCTGGATGCTGTTTGCATCTAAAACTTTATGATAAAAGAAATACGTGACGCCTGGTCCACCAAGTCCTTCGTCTTCGTTGCGTATGGCTGATCGTCAACGAAACGGAGTTAAGTCTTTTGTCAACTCTGTTTGTTGCTACGGCAGGCATCCAGTGAAAATGAATTGGTTTAATCAAATTATGAAAATGCAATTATTTTAAACAAACAGAACTTTGTTATTCCTTGCTCATTTTTCCTGATTGAGGTGTCATATGAAAGGGCAGAAAACGAACGTTCTAGAAATGTGATTTTCTCTCTGAAATTCAGATACCGCCTGCCAAATAACTTTTTGGTTTTCTCTCTTCAAATTGTTTTTAATCACTCATATGATTAAGTTATAATAAAAACATCTATAATTCTGGGACGCACTGTAATATGTGGCATTAGAAGGGTATATTTAGGAAGAAAACTATTTGTCTCATAAAGTATTCCAATGTTTCTAAAAATGCATGTAATTATATGTCGTATGTGTTTATTCCAGCTCAGATTTTTATCAATAAGGATACCTAAAAATGTTGTACATGTTTTACGTTCTAAGGCTATATTATCAATTAAAATTTTATTGAGAAAATATAGGGTATTTGCATTTGCAGTCTTAAAGTGCATGGAGTTCCTTTTTATTGACCCTAATCACCAAGTCCCTTGGAGAGGACTAAAATCCGTCTGTCCCCGGTTTGCTCACGTACATACATGCCTTCTTAGCTGTCTGGTAGAAGCAAACCATCAATAGAGTTAAAAGGATATTAGGTATATTTGAGCAATCAACATTATATGATAATTTTAATGAAATGTGCATTCAGTGTGCAATCTATTCTTTTGAATACTATTTTAATTCTGGTTTCTTTTCTTTGTTTATACTATTTAAAGTGATATGTTTGATACTCTCTGTGCAATGTATTTATTTATTTATGCATGTTCACAATTTCACAATTCACTGGAGTTAACATCACGTGAAAAATAATATGATATCACAAATCATTTTCAATTTTACCATCCATTTGAATTGACTTCACATGTAAAAGAATATAACATAGTTTTATCAAAGACAAGTTTAACAAGTTGGAACTATTTCTACAGTTTAAAAAAATGAACACACAAAGGTGATGAAACATATACATTATAGAGCTTGAGTCGTTACAGCACCTTTCAAATATATAGTTTATGACAAATAAAATTCCTGAAGGGTTCTGAACCATTTACACTAATTACAAATAACAAAACAAAAATATGTATAGATATAAGTCTAGTAAAATGGATCAACTCCAAAAATACAAAAAAGCAAAACCATGTTTAAGTGGGCTAACGTCTTTCATCAGTAATACGAAATACATAGAACTTAACATTGCAAAACAGAAGAAGATTGAAGGAATGCACTAAAAGAAATTGTCCCCTGTGGAAGAATGATTTTGATTATAATCCTATGATATTCACTGTAGAAAAGGAATTGTTATCCACTATTTCTGTATTGTTTGACGTTTTTCATCCGTTTTTACCTTTTGTAATTGTTGTGCAGTGATTTTAATGATTATTGTTATCATGATGTATGTACGAAGTACTTGATAAATAAAAGTTTTTTAAAGATTTTTAGAAAAAAATGTCTAGTAAATTGCCTTATAGATCATAAGAGAATTAAATTTATGTTAGATATAATGAGAACTGATATATAGATTTGTATATAGAAATATCTTAAATTTTGTGAAATGATAATACATTCGAATGCTCTTTTAAAGGAGTTTGGGGATTTTATATTTCGAATATTGTTAGGTGTATAGAGAATTCCATACATCTATGTCTGATTGATTTCTTGGGTATTGTAGTGTGAGGATTTACCACATGTAAATTCGGTGACCGCCTTGGCCTTGTTGAATAATGAGTGAACCATGTTATAAGGTTATAACATTGAATATAATGAAGTAGGTAACAATTGAGTTGAAAGCATCAGCCTTTAAAGATAAATAATAATAATAATAATAATAATAATAATTGATATTGAAACGGAACATAAATATGGACATTTGTAGAAAGTTGAAAGCATCAGCCTTTAAAGATAAATAATAATAATAATAATAATAATAATAATTGATATTGAAACGGAACATAAATATGGACATTTTGTAGGAAGTTGAAATCATCAGCCTTTAAAGATAAATAATAATAATAATAATAATAATAATAATAATAATAATAATAATTGATATTGAAACGGAACATAAATATGGACATTTTGTAGGAAGTTGAAATCATCAGCCGTTAAAGATAAATAATAATAATAATAATAATAACTTTTACTTATATAGCGCTTTTCATCAAACATTTATATCAAAGCACTTTACAATATTGATACAATTAAAACTAAACAGAGTAATGACAAGAGAACAAATTTAAAATGAAATTATGAAACATAAGATAACAAGGTAAGGTAAAAATTTAAGAACTGGGTTGAATGCAGGCGCGGATCCAGAATTTCTTAGGGGGGGGGCCCAAATTTGAAATTATGCGAGCCAAATATTGGTACGTAATAGTGACCAACAGTGACGTAATGCGGGGGGGGGGTCGGTGCAGGGAGGGGCGATTTCCCCCCCCCCCCCCTCCCCTCCCTCCTCCGCGAAACGCGGAAGCTTTGACGTTTTATTAAATTATTAGAGAAAGAAGACGATTCGTTGTACCATTCTCGAAAATAATTCTCGTCTGAATTTAATTTTTCCCCTCCCGCGCGGAGCGCGGAAAAAATTTACGATTTATTAAACTATTAGAGAAAGAAGACGATTCGTTGTCGAGTTCTCGACTCTTAATCCTCGTCTGAATTCAGTTTTCCCCCTTCCTCGTGAAGCGTGGAAGCTTTTACGATTCATTAAATCATTAGAGAAAGAAGACGATTCGTTGTACCGTTCTCGACTCTTAATCCTTGTCTAAATTCAGTCTCCCCCCTCCCCCTCTTGCGCGAAGCGCTGAAGCTTTTACGTTTCATTAAGCCATTAAAGATTCGTATTACCGTTCTCGCCTCTTAATCCTCGTCTAAATTTAGGTTTCCCCCCCCCCCCTTCCCTGGGGTCGAGGCGACGATTCGTTGTACCGTTCTCGAAAATAATTCTCATCGGAATTTAGTTCCCCCTCCATCCCGCGCGAAGCGCGGAAGCTTTTACGTTTCATTAAGCCATTAAAGATTCGTATTACCGTTCTCGCCTCTTAATCCTCGTCTGAATTTGGGTTAAAAGCGCGGAAGCTTTTAAATTTCCTTAAATCATTAGAGAAAGAAGACGATTCGTTGTACCGTTTTCGAAAATAATCCTCATCTGAATTTAGATTCTCCCTCCACCCCTCCTCACGCGCGAAGCGCGGAAGCTTTTAAGTTTCATTAAATCATTAGAAAAACAAGACGATTCGTTGTACAGTTCTCGACTCTTAATCCTCGTCTGAATTCAGTTTTCCCCCTTCCTCGTGAAGCGTGGAAGCTTTTACGATTCAATAAATCATTAGAGAAAGAAGACGATTCGTTGAACCGTTCTCGACTCTTAATCCTTGTCTTAATTCAGTCTCCCCCCTCCCCCTCTTGCGCGAAGCGCGGAAGCTTTGACGCTTCATTAAACTATTAAAGAAAGAAGACGATTCATTGTTCAGTTCTCGACTCTTAATCCTCGTCTAGATTCAGGTTCCCCCCTCTCGCGCGAAGCTTTTAATTTTCATTAAATCATTAGAGAAAGAAGACGATTCGTTGTACCGTTCTCGAAAATAATCCTCATCGGAATTTAGTTCCCCCTCCATCCCGCGCGAAGCGCGGAAGCTTTTACGTTTCATTAAGCCATTTAAGATTCGTATTACCGTTCTCGCCTCTGAATCCTCGTCTGAATTCAGGTTCCCCCCTCCCGCGCGAAGCGCGGAAGCTTTGGCGTTTCATAAGATTATGAGAGAAAGAAGATGATTCGTTGTACCGTTCTCGATTTTAAATCCTTGTCTGAATTCAGTCCCCCCCCCCTCCCCTCCTGCGCGACGCTGTGACGTTTCATTAAATTATTAGAGAAAGAAGCCGATGCGTTGTACCGTTCTCTATACTGTTAATCCTTGTCTGAATTTCAAAGATGTTCTTTGTCTGCTCCTTTTTCTTCCTACGTCCTCTTCCGATTTGGGGGGACCGCCCCCCCCCCCCCCTGGCTACGCGTCTGCGGTCAGATAAACACATTTTGATACCTTGTCTAACCCCGCAAGCGGTCAGATAAGCATTCAGGGGCCCGTCTTAGGGC